GACTCCAATTCACCGATGTGGCAAGATCATGCGTTCAAGGCTGACCAGGCTGCATTCTCTCCGCTTGCGGTCAATGGAGGAGACGAGTCGAGTAATTTTCAATGGATGCCTTATGGACAGAGTCCTCTCCATGGTGCAATGTCACCTGCAGGCCCAGGGTACAGTCCCAGTTCACCGAACGCTTACTCTCCTACTTCCCCCGGGTTCGTACCGCAGTCTCCGTTCGGTGGCGCTACCTCACCGTTTGGTACCTCTCCTTATGCAACATCGCCGTTCTACGAGCCTGGCAGAGGGGCAACTTCTCCAACGTACTCACCTACATCGCCGGCGTTCAATCCGACCTCACCTGCATATTCTCCTACAAGTCCCCGGTATTCCCCAACGTCGCCGTCATTCTCTCCAACCTCCCCACGATATAGTCCACAATCGCCTTCCTTCAGTCCGACTTCTCCTCGCTACTCCCCCACCAGTCCATCCTTCAGTCCGGCGTCCCCGCGGTGTAAGTATTCCCCAACCGTTGAAAATAATTCGCGGGCTGATACCTTCTTGCGTTACAGACTCACCGAGCAAGTGTTGCTCCAGTCTTTTCCTTTTCATGTTACTAACATCGTCTCGCCCTCCCTTCTTGAAACCATCTAGCATGTAAGTGTCCAGCTACCATACATCTCTTTACAGATGCTGATGATTCCTCACTCAGCTCCCACGCAAATGTCTCCATCATCTCCAAAGTATTCCCCGACATCGCCAATGGGCTCGCCTTCGTCGCCGAAATACTGTGCGTTGTGCTTGATGCATCTAACGATTATACTGATCCTTGGTCGATCTAGCTCCTACATCTCCAGCCTACTCACCAGCGTGTAAGTTGTGTTTTATCGTTGGATGACCTGGTTGTAACGTTGACTTCTCCCCAGCACCGGCTTATTCCCCCGCCTCGCCTGCTTACAGCCCTACTTCCCCTTCGTGGTCGCCTTCCAGTCCGGTTCACAACCAGAACGGAACGACTCGCAGCCATTCTTATCAGTCGTCTCCATCGTGGGATTGAGTTGGTTCTATGGGTTATGTGCTTTCATACGTATATATCTAACTATTACGCTCTGTGCTTTGCCACTACCGTGTAGAATAATACCACGTACTATCATAAATCTCGACGCTAGAAATATGGCCCAGAGTTGTTGCGTTAGTTCGCCTCCTAGATGACTCAATCTGTCTCGGTACAGCTTGTGGTAGGTCCAAGGTAGGTCATATGGTTTAAACCATAGAAAATACTTAGGTGATTCCCTAACAGATTCTTTCTTGCAGATAGCCGTATGCACTAATCCTCCCAGGGTTTTATGAATGGCTCTTGTCAACGTGGCCCTGTCCTCCTGAGGCTCTTCCACTTCAACTACCAATCCTGAAATGTCGGCGCAGGGATCAAACACCTCGTTGTCGGGGGATGTCGCCTTTGTAACTGGTGCCGCGTCTGGTGCGTATATTGCCCCGTGGTGTTTCACCCCTCTTGACTTTAGGATGCGAACCTAGGAATCGGCCTAGCATTGACACGAAAATTGGTGGAGTTGGGGTACGATACTGACCTTGCTGCTAACAACATTTTCGATAGACTCAATCCTGATATTTAGAGTTAAAGTCGTCATGGTTGACCTGAACGAAACAGCTGCTCAAGCTATCGCTAAGGAGTTCAACGATCAGAAGAATGGCGAGGTGTGAGTGAAAAATCGACCCCCTCAGTGTGATTGCTCGTTGAACCATCCGTTTTTCATGTTCTATCAGCGTTGCTATCGCCGTTAAAGCTGATACATGTTCTTGGGACGAGCAGCTTGCCGCGTATGAGGCTGGAAAGAAGGCGTTTGACCGGATCGACTACTGTTAGTACCCCCATCCTTTCTTACTAGCCCCCCAGTGTTCGGTTTTGAACCATTCAACACAAACAGTTTTTGCAAACGCAGGCATAAGCGAAAGACCATGGCTCCCCGCTTTCAATCCCTCCACCGCCTCTACGCGTCCCATCACAAAGCCAGACAACACGACACTCGATATCGACTTGGTCGGTCAGCTTTATACTGCCGCTTTGGGGTTACAAGTGTTTGAGAGACAGGACATTAATCGACATGGATTCCGTGGAAAATTGGTTCTGACCGGATCGACCTATTCATACTTTACATGTGCGACTATGCCGATGTATAACACAGCGAAGGCGGGGACTGTGCAGTTCATGAGGTCGGCGGCTAAGCTGTATGATGGGAGAGGTGTTACGGTTAATTCCAGTATGTTTTGGGAACCAACCTTGGTTTTTTCAACTACGTGCTCATCACCAACTTACTTGACTCATTAGTCGCCCCAAACTTGCTTGGTGAGTTTCACTTCGATCCGTGCCGGTTCAAAATTGAAAATATTGCTACGCAAATCCCTTTGCAGCCACGAATATCAGGACGAAAGAAAGTCACCAGTTGCTTGAATCCCTTGGGTTGTTGAAAACACCGATGGACCTAGTGGTGCAGCAAGCGATTGTAAGTCCCGCTACAAGTTGAAATGGGCGATACCAAATCTGCCATTCAGTCTGTCCTAGGAGATAGCAAAGACAACGGCAGAGCGATTTCTATCACCAACGATGAGGTTTGGGATCATCCCATTGAGTTGACCAAGTGGAAGGAGAATGAGTACAGTTGCAACATGGTGGAATATATCGCCGGTATTAGGGCGGGCTACTGGGAGTGGGATGAAACGAAATTCCCGCCGCGGGACTGATAATACTATGCAACTGGTAAAAAATTCATGAGCTAATGTTCAGCTTCATCTTGTAATTTGTAGTGTCAGGCTTGATGGTACAACGTTCACTTGGGCTTGTGTCGATAAAGTGCAATGGGTGATTGCGGAAACCGACATTTTCCCCACATGTTCTTGAAACGAAGATAGGACACAACTGCATAATTCCACCATCATGTCGATACTTGAGTCTTGACAGTTTGAGAAGGACGGTGGGTAGGTAGGCGCTCCATTCGAAAGTTTGACTCCGACAAGCGTCAAGGAAGGTGTCAGTACTGGAGATTTTTCATCATTACATAATTTGCATATACATAAACCATAAGTAATTACTTCGCACAGTTCATTTTCCTTTTCATAAAATAATCATGGCTCCATATCATTCTTCAAAGCCCTATCGCACGCACATCCCGAGCTCCTTTCGGTGGTTCCCTCCCTCTACGATCTCGATCCAAAACCGAAACACTTTCCAGGTGTCCAGATTCAACACCAACACCGGTATTACTCTCTCGACCCTTCAAAACCTTCCGCGGACGACCACGAGATAGTTTACCCGGCTTCTCTTCCGTCACAGAACTCACACTAGGTCCAGCTTTACGTTTCCGCCCTCTTTTCTTAGGACCGTTCTGAGTATCGAAAATACTAGGTATGACGTCCTGTCTCAGGGGAATGGTTGAAGGCGGTAGACTGGGGCCCTCGTCGCCCGAGTCAGAATCCAAGCCGTCAGAATCCGAGTCATCGGGTTCTTCCTGCAAGTCGAGAGGAAAAGTCTTATCGTCTGTAAAAACATATTCGCGGCGTTGAACTTCACCAGCCAGAAACAACTCTTCGCAGCCTTTTTGGATGTCGGACATATCTTCATCGTCAGACATCAAACGTAAAGCCTCTTCGAAGTTTTTGTCCTCGATATTTTCCTTGCCGAGGACTCGGCGACATCCGCAGGTCATTGGGTCGTGTCTCTCATCTTCAACTTCTGTGTTGTTGGCGTTGTGGACGGTTCCGTCATGATCACTCGAGATAGTTGGTAACACTTCGCCTATCCCCGGCGAGAAAGAATAGAAATAAGAACGGGTGCTGTGGTTAACTTTCTCGGGGTCGATTTCCCTATAGCTACTGACAAGGCATCTAAGTGGAGAGCCGGTGGAACTACACTGTTCTGTAAACTGAGGGGGTACGATGATGGGCGAAGCAGGGAAACGAAAGTACGGCGAAACCGTGGTAGCTAAGTTCTCGGAGACCAAAATCGAGGATTTAGCTCCTCTAGTTCGTCGAGATGGGGTGCCGGGGGAAGGAAGGTGATCCGGTGGGAGAGGAAAAATAACGCCGTGTTTGAACGTGCTCCTAGGTAAAGTTGAGAATTGCGGTTCCTCGTTCTCAACATGTCCCCAATAAATACGCGTGAGAGACAGTGTCCTCCAATCCCAATTCGTGTTTGGAGTAACCTCTAGATCATAATCCGGGGATATGGGTGAATAAAGTTGCAGTTCGCCTTCAGGGAATGAGTTGACCTCTAAGGTTCTGGATGAGTATGATCGCGGTTCGCCTTGACTTTCGAAACCCATTCTATCACTACTCTCAGGGTCAGAATAGTCACAGTTCATCGAAGGTGGACCGCTTCGAATCCCTAGATCGGTTTCATTGGAGTTCAACCCTGGTTTGAGAGGGTTAGGCAAATCTCGTGGTATGCCACTGCTGCGAGAGGTGATCGTCCTAGAACCAAGTCATTGATTGAAATATGGCTGTTCTCGCGTAGGTAGCACATACATTCAAGAACTCAAGGTGCTTCACGCTGCTCTTCGTCTTCAGTGACCTCCAGGTGCGTCTGATTCGTGTTTTGAAGGCGCAAAGGTGTGCGTATGAGGCTGCAAAGGATGAAGGAAATGGTTGGAGAGAACGAGAACAATAACGGAAAGTTTAAACACACGAGCATCATGCCACTAAACAACTTCTTTTCGCCACTACATTTCTCAGTTCAAGCAGAGAACCAAATCGGGCGAACTATAGCTGAAACTCGGAAGGTCCATGCGTCGACTGTCCAAGGCTACCATGGCATCGTTGAGCAGCATTTACATGCCAAGTAACAGTCTGAAAAAGTGCAGGCGAGGAGGCAGACTGTCGTGTAAGGATATGATGGGTGTCAGTAGCAAAGACCGCAACTTTGTATCAGAATTGGAAGCTTCAGTGATGTTTGTCTGTATGGAGACGATGTACATATATTGAAGACGGTAACTCCTTTAGGTGGCCGACTAGCTCAGTTGGTTAGAGCGTCGTGCTAATATTGATTATTGTTTGATTTTTCTGTTAACGCGAAGGTCTTGGGTTCGATCCCCACGTTGGCCAATTGTCTGTTTTTAATATCTTTTTCTCTGTTGGCCATCAGACCCACCCGTATTCAATGCCAATAGAGCAGGTTGCAAGGGAATTACGGACACTGATGCACGATACGATTTAGTTTTTAGTTGTTAAGTTCCACAAATGAGATTTGCCTCTACAAACGCATGTGTATATTTCTTAATCAGGAGGGAGAGAGAGAACGGAGAAGTCAAAAACCACTCATTAAACCACGTCCGTTCACAAAGGAACAGCTTCCAAAGCCTGCACCTCCCGATTAACAAACCTCAATTTCCACCCAGCGCTCCTGAAGATGTTTTCATACTGCTTCGCAGTCCAGGCTTGAGCATCGAAAAGAATAAGCATCTATACAGGGAGAGGAGCAATTGATGATTTTAATCCATCGAGCAAAACCCCCTTCAAATAGCCAACACTTACATTGATATCCGAATCATACTCCATCTCCCCCACCAACCCATAATTAGCCAACAACGGTTCAGGAGCCTCTCGCGGTACCGTCCCAGGTATTCCACCCTTCGCACCATCCGGATCACGACACGCATAGGGAAGTATATACTCGATGGCAAGTAAAACAGTATCAGGCTTTGCAGCCTCCCAGAGACACTTGAGAATTTCGACACACTGATCATCGGACCAATTGTGCAAAACTTGCTTGACCATGAAGACAGAAACGGTGTTTTGAAGGTGCTCCGGCTGAGGAGAAAAGAAATCGTGTCCTGTTTGAAGTCCAAGACCAGCTATGGAAAAATAAGGGAGGGCAAGAACCTTCCAAAGCGACTCTGCCGGAAGAGATAGCTTCGGGCATCTGACCAGCCCACCACTAAAATGAGAGATACGGATTTCGCGTCAGTGTAAGGGAGGGACGTTTAGCTTTCCAGAGTACTCACCGCCTTCGCATCCTCAATCGTCGCAGGTCTATCTAGTACAACAAACTTCAAACTCTCAAATTTCCTCGCGACGCTATGAGTGACATTGCCGATTAGCGAACCAACCCGGAGACGTGCCCAATCAAACGCTGCGTTAAAGTTATGATGGTCGGAATGCAAGCGTGCGTTCTCAGAAAACATACTACTGACCTTTCACATCATTGTTCTGGGGACGAAAAGTTTCATAGCAATATTAAATCTTCCTGCCCTAGACCTCTGATCCGGTCGCTCGTAGTACTCATATAACGTTTCGCCCGTTCCAAGAGCTCGAGTGAATGATAAAACTATCGATCCATCGGGGGTTTTGGAAGGTTCGGAGAGGGCTTCCCAGATATACGCCGCTGCCTTGAAGGAGTCATCCAGGCTGGTATCAATAAAGTGAGAAAAATAATTCGGTAATGTTTGTAAAATGCTCACTTCATGGCCATCAGAGCGGGTACCCCTGTTGTACCATCATGCTTGTGTTCAGGACTGATTATCAGTGAATAATGGGGAAGAAGAAGAAAAAAACGAGTTTTTCAACGTACTCGACTAAAACCACCTCACTGGGTTTACCGGTGTCTAAAATGCTCGATATTCTCGTATTAGCGAACACGTCTGGTGTAACTTCTCTGTAGAAATGATTCGTGGCCAAGACACGAAGGAGGCGACCTGTATGTGCACGTTGAGAGATTCAAGAACGTGTTCAATGACAGCTACGTGACTCAACTGAGTTTCCGAGAATCCAGCTTGTTCTTCTTGGCTATCAAATCAACATGTAGTCCCTACCCAAGTCAGAAAAAAAGACACCTGCGTCGAAGGCACTATGACATGCATACCTGAAGCCCGGCTTCGCGGAGTATCTCAGTAACGCTACCTTCTAGGCACACGCGTACAGCAGCTGATCTGAACATCTGCCAAAAGAGCGATAAGGGGTGCATGACGACCTCCCAACGGCATCAAAGATGTACTCACCCCACTAACTTCATGATACATCGACACCTGTGGTGGTGTTAAAATCACAGCGATATGTTGTGCTGCAGCAACGATGATGTTCGCGGCCTCAGCAACATCTTCATGTCTACGAAAAGCTTCGGAATCTGGGTGAAACGGTTCGTTTAAGTCCGGAATTTGAGTGCCGTTCGTCTTGCAGGATTCTTCGAGGATATCAACGTTCTTGTTGAGGATACCCAGGATCGTGCGCAGTTGGGAAAAGTTGGTTTCAGATGGCATTTGTGATTAACGCTTTTTTTTTGTTGGTTAGCTTTGGCTTTATAAGGATAGTAATGATAAAATGGTTTTAATAGATGTACCTTTAATTGGTGAGAATACGAATGATAAGATATCACTTGAACATTGTGGTCCACCGTTATCCTGCGAAACCTTGGAACGGCGAGTGGGAGCTAGGTAGTCTCGCTGCACGGCATCCCCGTTTGGACACCTACCCTGATAAAGGAACCATGCAGTTTGAGAAGAACGGTAAGCCCTCTATTGGAATCAAGGAAGATGTCAGAAAAGAAACATATGAAGGTGGCTGCGGTTATGGGAGAAGTGACCTGCCTGAGCTTCCTTTCGCGCGGGGTCGTCGTAGCTCGTGGGAGGTCATTGAGACGCGTCAAGTTCACGTGCTGTGTTCCCAGGCCTTTCGTCTCCATCGTCGATGAGTCGTGGTCCATGCACATGGCTCATCCTTCTCTGATCATTCAAATGACTCCAAGTTCTCGGGAGAATGAAGAATAGTCGATCAAGTGTGTCTGGGGTGTTGGACTAAGGATAGCAAGGGCGCTCCCGTTGGCGTCTACGTTGAGCTCTGGAGTGTTGAGAGGGAAAGATATAGTAGATGTTGAGCGTGATGCTCTCACTGGTGAGCTTTTTTAGCGAGCTTGTATCATAACTCATTTTAGACGACTTCCAATCTGGCCACATTTGAGGTTCACTTTCTGCACACTCATAGAATTATTCAGTATGCCTATGCATCTGTATCTATACAGTATCTTGGCCCAGAGCACAACCCAAACCCAGCGAGAAATCACGGAGCAGACCTCAGCTCCCTTAGTCGTAGTTGACAATTATCGCAGTTTGATCGAGAATCGGCATGCAGTCCATTGCTTGATTGTGCTCTAGAGCTTTGGATCCTGGTCATTGTCAAGAAAAAGTGAGTGATATTTGACTAATGGAATCACAGGACCCGAATCTGACCAAAAGTCCCAAATTCCTTGTTTCAGATTCAATCATTCCAACCGCACTATACTCAGAAAGACCCAGTGTACCCGCGCGTGCTAAACTTCGTATCCCACGGGTCGATCCCCTCCGATGCTAACCTCCTTTGTTTCTCTAGGACAGCTCGAGCAGATTCTCGGCTGAAGTTCGAAGCTGTCCGGGAATGGCTTGGTCTATCTTCAGCTCCGGCTGTTCGTGGTCTGGCAGGTCTAGAGGGCCTGACAGGAGGTCTCATTGCGGTCACTGTGACAGTGGAAGCAGTATTAATGGATGGCGTTATCGTTTCAGTATCAAAGAGCTGCGGGTTTGAGTGTGTTTAAACAGTTGTAAGCCATCTTTGCATACTTCTAGATGACTTCACTACGTACCCTCGAATCCAGCGACAGTCTCCTCGATGTACAACGATTGCAAACCCCATTGACCATCACTGCCGACCCATCGCTCTTGCTCCTGTTACCATTGCAGACCCCGCATCTTGGGGAGGATTGTTGCTGGCCCATGATAGTCTAGAATGGTCTTTCCGACGAACCCTCGCTGCTTTATATTTCCTGGTCCGGTTCTACGGTAAAACTTGCCGCGACTCGTATATATATACTAGACTGTGATGGAGATCCTGTGTAAACTCAGTGGACGACCCCGGGATTTTAAAGTGATTCTCTGACGCCCTCCTAACGCCAGTGAGGCGATCAATTCCAAGTGGCTTCTAATCCCCCACGTTGTCGAATCAGGTCATCTCTCTCCCCTTTCCACTGTCAACCGTTTCAAATTGCTGGGAACCCAGAGATATTGGCTCAGAAGTTTGTGGCGCGAATACCCATACATTTCAAGCCTCATGTGATGGACCTGGGATGATATTTCAAGTTAGGTTTGACCCAAAGTTACCTGTTGGGCCAGCCTCCATACTATCACTTCCTTGTTTGACGTCGATGAACTTTACTTACAGTTGACAGTTGAGCGGTGGGCGCAAGTATGAAACAGGATCCGTTCCGTCAAACGATGAACTCTTCCATTACTCCAGACTGCTTGAATCAAGGATGACTATTTCGAGTCTGTGTTTCATCATCTGTGTCGTATGCATTGTACTTTGGTGCTGCTGCCGGAATGTTTCCAGGATACCGTCTTCCTGATTCGTCGTGACCCCCTTCGCAAAAAGAATATCCCCGGTTCTAAAAAGAGATCTATATATTCGTAACCGCAGAATCCCGTCATTCTTTATTGCGATGAATTACACAAATTCCGTGATTTCTGCTAAACGATCAGAGTACATATACTTCGAATTGCACCCGGATGAAGTGACGCTCCGTGGTCCAGATCTAGACGACGAAACTGTGCTGGCGATCAACGTCAAAATGATCGTCGTTGTTCATTTTAGCAAATTCCTCTACTTACATCTTTCAGAGCATGGGATGACTCTAGGAAGCGCTTTCCCTTTCGCACGATATCACGTTATCGTGATGCTTGACGCGGGTGGCGCTTTCGAGCGCGGTTTTCAACCTTTCATGACTCCTCAGGTTATTCCGACCTCCAGAGCCCAGATAATCCAAGTGACCGATTTAAGCCCTACGGAGGTGTGGGACCTCGCTTTGACATTCCTTAACTCCCTTTCCAAGTCTAATCATATCGTGATCCATAATACTATACTCAGACATCTTCAAAAGTGTAATAACCGTGCTTGGAAACTGGAGGTAAATCATGCACATCTACCGCAACTCCGTTTGATGTCAATCTCCTTCGTTTTTCCAGGACAGCTCGAGCCGAATCTCGATTAAAGTTTCGCCTGGCATTACTAGGTCTATCTTCAGCTCCAGCAGTTCGCGGACGTCTGACAGGCCTAGTAGGAGGTCTCATCGCCATCACCGTTAC